CAGGAGGCAGAGGTTGCAGTGAGCCAAGATCACGCCACTGCACTGCAGCCTGGGTGACAAGAGCAAAACTCCGTGTTAAAACAAAAAAATCTGGGCTCGGTAGCTCACGCCTGTAATCCTAGCCCTTTGGGAGGCCGAGGTGGGCAGATCATCTGAGGTCGGGAGTTCGACACCAGCCTGACCAACATGGAGAAACCCCATCTCTACTGAAAATACAAAATTAGCTGGGCATGGTGGCGCATGCCTGTAATCCCCGCTACTTGGGAGGCTGAGGCAGGAGAATCACTTGAACCCAGGAAACAGGAGGTTGCAGTGAGCCGAGATCACGCCACTGCACTCCAGCCTGGGCAACAAGAGCGAAACCTCGTGTCAAAACAAAGAAACAAAAAATTCAATATAGCTGCCCAAAATAACTAAAAACAACATAGTGGTGAAGAGTTAAACTTTCTCTTCACACAGTAGCGCTATATATATAAATCATTCAGCCTGGTAACTTCTCATAAAGTATTTCATCTTTCCTAAAATCATATTAATTAATTATAATTTGTTTAAATTAATTCTGACATTATAATAATCATCTCTTTTTAATATTTAAATACCATTAGACTAACACTTTGATCATTTGGCAAAACTCCCATTTTGAGTCAATGAAAAATGTCCATATATTTACATATTTACTCTTTGGAGAAGGTTACCTCTAGATCTCTTGACTGTTTCACCCTTTTCTACGAAAGTGTATGCGACTTATAAGTTCTTTGAACTTCAGCATTAAGGAGTAGTTGTTCATGTTGTCTTTCCATATTTCATAAGTCCTTCTAAGTTTGTCATAATAACTTTCTTTTTTCAAGTTGAAATCTGATCCTGTTGTTTTTAGAAAACTGTCCTTTTTCCATATTCTCCAGGAATCTTTGAATTTTTCCAAATAACTTTCTTTTTCAGAGTCTTCCTTCCATATTCCTTCTCCTTTTTTTAAGGCTGTTAATTCAGCTTTAAGTAAGTTTCTGTGAACTCTCCAATAGATTTTAGAATCATATTTAAGCCCTTTAACAAGAACAGTTTTGCCAAGACCTCTTCTCAAAATTTCTTCATTCAGATTCACGCTGAAATATCCACCCTTGAATTTAAAAATAATACAAACCAATTATTTAAGATAATTGTTGTTAAACCCATCACATCTTATTTACCTTAAAAATCAGTCATTCAACAATTTTAGTCCTCCAAAGAAAAGGCAAAAATGGTCCCCAAGGCTCCCCCAAAACAGCTCTTGCTAAATCCAAGGATTTTTATTACTAGAAGAGACCCTTTCTCAAAATCAGTTAACTCTTTTATACCATGGAATTCTCCACAGACTCACTGTTCTCCTCACCCAAAGTGGTGAGGAAGCAATAAAGTATGAAAAATGTGTTTTTGGTCTATCGGTGGTTCTATGGAGGGGAGGTGGGATGCACAGGATAGGCAGAGTGACAGCAGGACCAGCAAAAGAAACTAAGAGACGAAGAGAAACTAAACTGAAAGTAGTGGTCAAATGCAAAATGAACTGAATCATCACTGAACTGTTAAATGAGGTTCAGAATTCCAGTGTTTTGGACAGCACTGGCAAGTAAATACACTTTTAAAAGACCTCCCTCAAAATTATTAACATAAAAATAGTTTGGGCCATTGAGTCTTCATCCTACAGGAAATTTCATTCATGGAATACCTCACCTCCTAATGAAACTGGATAAATGGGATTTTTTTTTCATTAATTTACTGTATAAAGGAGATCCTGGCGGGGCGCAGTGGCTCATGCCTGTTAATCTCAACACTTTGGGAGGCCGAGGCAGGCGGATCACGAGGTCAGGAGTTCGAGACCAGCCTGGCCAACAAGGTGAAACTCTGCCTCTACTAAAAAAACACAAAAATTAGCCGGGTGTGGTGGCAGGCGCCCGTAATCCCAGCCACTCAGGAGGCTGAGGCAGGAGAATTGCTTGAACGCGGGAGGCGGAGATTGCAGTGAGCTGAGATCGCGCCATTGCACTCCAGCCTGGGTGACAGAGCAAGGCTCCATCTCGGGAAAATAAATAAATAAATAAAAGGAGATCCTGCCTAGATACTTCTACAATCCTTGTCGGATTTTAATCTTAACAAAGGGTTAATAAAATTCTGTTCCTTCAAATTCAGAAATTTTTAGTACCTGATAAGTTATAAAGCAATTATATTTTTCTAAATCTTTCAAATCTTATAAGCTCATTCCCTTGAACCAAACTCAGAATAATTAAAAGTCCACCTCACACATTAGCAAAATTCAAACAGGAGAAGTAAATTATCACTCTATGTGTATAGCGTAGTTTGGTCAACTAGGAAGCGAGATAAAATA